CTAGAGTTGCCCTCGGCTATCACCTCGGGCAACTCTTACGCTTCTTTCGTGCTCTCCAAACTTCCCGCGTGCTCCATAACTCGATAGTGCACGCTAAAGCATGAACCAAATGTTAAATAAAACTAAACAACATTTTGAGAATAGCAATTTCCTATACTTTATTTACGAATGCAGTGTAATTAACATCACTCCATTATCCTTGGTAGGTGGTTGAACAACAATCAGTTGAAGAAATTACCATCAGGCATTTTCAGTAACAACACCCAGCTGACTAGCTTGTAAGTTTGAAGCCTGCCCTTTCTAAGTAAAGAAAGCATGAAATCCGTCCCAACTGTCGGCAGGAATATAAGCAGATCAGAGCAGCGATTTTCTAGCGATTTAGTATTTTCCATAGACCGCTTAGAGTGGTACCGTCGGATAGTTTGCGCGTTCCAATTGCCCTAATATGGTACCTTGGCGTAGTGGTGGAGAAATAAATACACTTTACTCAGTAGTTTACCACATAATACTGGCGGAATTGCGTTTTTTTTTTCAAGCCCGGTAGGGGCGGGGAAAATGCCAAAAATCTCTCCGTCCGCATTTCTTCCCTGTTCTACAATGTACTACCGTGGCATAGTTTAGCAATCCAGTGCTCTAATAACGCAAAATAGTGTGATTGCAAAATAATAAGTGAAAGTATTTCTAAGCCCGATGATGCATATTCTGCTATACCCTGCGTGCGGAACTAAATGCCCACAAAGTGTTTATCATTAGGACTTTAACTTTGCGAAACGAACTTTTGGTGCTTGTAGTCGTGGTAAAAGCACTATCACCACTTTACAAGATCAAATTGGCTTAAAATCATTGCATATTTTGTCAAAAAAGATACGACTGAACAGTGCTTAAGAAAATTTTACCAATACCTATGATAAAAAGGCTCTCACTTAAATAGATCAATGTTCGTTTAGGTAGGATATCTATGGAGGGAAGACAAAGAGTGCGCACCCGAAGTAGACAACTATATAGAGTCCGCCCCTCTACGCTTGCGAGATATCATTTAGCGATGAATCCAGTTTTAATGGCTATGTTTCTCTGAGAGTTTCGAGAGACATCAGACGAGGAAATCGGTGTAGAATAAAATAGAAGCACTAGATTTTAAACTCAGTAAAGATCTCCCAATTATTTCTGGATTTTTTTTTTTTATGCCCCCAAAGATTGCTCGCCCTTCCAGTAAGATTCTTCATAATACAAAGCCTTATGTTCTCGATAAAAGCATGTCATGCCGGAGGCACTCTGGGCTGCAGCTGCGGTCGTTCCTAAGCGGTATTAGTGATATACAATCAATCTTCATGTAAAACAATATCAGTTTTAGAATTCATACTGAAAGTATTTTCAAAGATCGCTACGGCTACATACAAGGCCAGGGAATAATATTGATCATTTGGGCTCTTTATTTCTGCTCTGAATTTGCGAAATTTACCTTTGTCCTAAGCAGTCCTAAGCAGTCCTGCGATTAATTGGTCGCTAATCATAAAAGAGAATCCCAACAAATTANAAGACAAAGCAGAGACAAGCACTACGTGACCCACGCGCAAGAGATTGTCCGAGTTGTTTAGAACTGACTTTTTCAGCGCCATGGCAACGTGACGTCACACTTTAGAACTCTATTGTTAAATGATATGCCTGAAATTGGAGAAATATCTTAAAGTTACCAGCTGAGAATGCTGATCCTTGATAGTGGCTCTCCGCCAAAAATAATTCTTCATTTTCTGGCTGTTCGCACGCAATAGCTGTTAGCACACAATAGCTCCCTAAGACACTGGAATAACTAGTTTCTCAGAAAAATCACTTAGCTTGAAATACCTACGTAAGCATATAATGACGAGACCTTGAAAACTGAACAATCTAATTTGCTGGGTTTGCTAAGCTGTCGGTTTTCTCTTTCCTTATACAGAAAAACTTTCATTGCCAATCCACAGGGTAAAGCCGGATAAAATCAGGTATTCCTTCCTCTTGCTCATGCGTTGTTTAACATTAGGAGAGCTTCAGCATGTTATTTATAAGACCAAGTTTTGAAAATGCAGTGATGTTTTCGTCTTGAGCAGAAATTAGACCGACAGATCATTTTGTTACGAGAGAGCTTGGGATCATCCGAAGTCAAACCTCAGCGCTGTTTTACGGGCTTTTAGCCTAATACAGCTACAAATGCTTAATTATCAAGACAAGAATTAAAGAGTTGTTCATTCTCACTCTTCAAAGTCAAACTACCGGCAACAGATGCTCTGCCGATCTCATGCGAGCGTGCCTATTTGCGTCTGTTTGAGTGGATGCTACTGGGAAAGGGAATTCGAAAATCACCCTTCCCTTTTGCCTTCTTTAGAATTCTTTAAACAACTTGTTTACAAATGTATTAAATTCAAAATTTTAACAATTTCCATGAAAATTGTGTAAGTAGTCTGCAAATTTTTTTTGTGCATAAAAGAACTTGATTAATTCCTAAAAATGTCAGTTCATTATGTTCCCTAAAATCGAAGAACTGCACAATTGTTTCGCCTCAGAGGAGTTGGCTCCTTGAAATGGAATCGGCTTAGTACTCGCGCGTATTATCATTTGTTCTTGCTTTAAAAGTTGGTCACAAACTTAGCCATCGTCGGTGTTTCAAGTGCTTTTTCGGTAGCGTGCATTTTGATATGAAAAATGTGAAGATATCGTTTTAAAACAAACAGCATGAATGACAGCATTATTTTACCATCATACAATTCTCATTACTGGCTATAAAGTGGGTCCGAAGTTAATTATCATTCCTTGTAGTTATCAAGCTTTATTTTTGAAAGATTTACATCACACTTTTAAGGAGAACTAACAATACATTTTATGTTTAAAAGTGATCTTTCTTTCAATTTATTTGGAATTCGCATTTATATATTTACCTCCTAAACTTTGAAAGGGTCTCATTAAATTGTTCGTATTGGTCTTGGTAAATATTTGGCGCCGCCTTCTTGAAGCGTCTTGAAATGTAGAATGTACGTTACTCACAATGTTGCCCTTGGTACGATAAATTGCTCAATTGGTCTTAAAACACTAGTGTTTCATAATCATAGAAGGGCTTAAAGTGCTGATCGACCAAGAGGAACAGTTCTTCAAGATCATGAAATCATGGGATCATTCTTATAAAGGCTGACCAGGATGTTACACTCCTGGTTTCGACGATTTAGAATCGAATATTTTTTTGTTCAGTAAAAACCCTTAAAAACTTAAGTATTTGTAAATTAACACCTGAGGAAGACGTCTGGTTTGATACTAGAAAACAAGGTTATCGAAATTCAAAGTTCTTTGTGTGATGAATTTAGGGGGAGAAAAATTGTAACACCATACGCGCCTTTTTTTCCTTCGTTGTTATTTTGAGGATAGTTTTGATTTATTAAAGTATAATAAATATGTGCTGGCTTAGTATATAAAAATACGAGTTATGGGCCCAAATTACACAGGTGAATTTTTTCTTTACAACTCTCAAAGACACATGGGCCAAATAGATATTCACTCTGTGTGGAAGAAGACAAGAGATCAATTCAGCCAGTTTATTGTTTGCTGCAGTATAGAAATGGTCGAAAATCATAGATCCTTTCAGCAGTGGAGAAAAGTATTCCTCGTATAAACAACTCGATAATTTTCAAGTTCCACTTTAATAGATTAACGTGGTGACTTTGGCTGTGTTTAGACTGTAACGTACAAGTAGAAAAGGGTTGAAAACCTAAGCTGGCTTTTTCCCCCACTGATTCAAGGATGCAATGTACCTACTTTTTTAAAAAGAGTTCGATTTTAAAGCAATTAACTGTTCAAGAGGTTGAAAGTAAGTAAGGGGGAGGTCATTGAATAAAAATCTATCACAGCTTTTTGGAATATCTTACAACAGAAAACTATCCCTAAAGTAACCTATCATTCCTTAGTTGGTAACAATTCAGTTTCCCTCAGTGACCTTCAGTTTCGCTCTGTGCTTGCGGCTATTTTACCTATCATGAGAATAGATAATTACATCCCTGAAAAGACAGTCTTCATTCTTATTACCAATCACCTTACCGATAAATAGATTTTCATGTCGAGCGACAAATTTGTTGATGTAAACGACCCTTATGCATGCAAGTGTAAACGTGGGTTGCCAAGGCAAAAGTGGCCCCGGTAAAATTCACGAGGTGATTCTTGTTTTTAAAGAGATTTTAAAAAGAATATGATTAACTCTTTGAGAGGTTGAAAGTAATCATGGTGGGTTAATTCAATAAGAATCTGTCACAATTGTTTGGAATATTTTACTCCGCAAAACTATCCCTTATTATCTATGAATTGTTAAAACTTCAGTTTCTTTTTGTACTTGCGGTTAGTTTGCCTATCACCGAAAAAGATGATCACATCGTTGAAGAGATAGTCTACATTCGTTATTACTAATCACCTTATTGGTTTTGTCTTTCGTCGTTACAAGAAAAAATATCGGTCGGGTTATTTGTGCGTCGACATCACATGAATTTCGGCCTCTCTTGACCTCAACGTATGAAATGAATAGATATCCAAGTATATCAAGTGAACTATAGAAGCGCACTATATTAAGTCATCACCGATAGTTAAGTTTTTTTCTTTTGAGCCTTTAAAAGAAATCTAAAATCTGGGTAACGGTATTCTAACTCAGTTTTTTTAAATGACACGTCTTAAAAATAATGATCGGAAAAGAAAATTAGGTTTTCATTTTTTCTTGTTTGGAGAGAGAGCACCAGCTAAGTAAGTTTCTCTCGATTTAAATTGAATCAAAGGCCTCTAGTAAGAATCAAGCTTAGATGATTTGAACTAAGAATGTGTTTGATGAGAGGTTTTTTAAGCGCCGCCATTTATATTAGTGATATGATTCAAATGTGGGCTGCTATGAAAAACGGTCCTTGAATTGTGCGGGTCTAAGAAAGCGAAATTGATTCACTAGGCTCACCAAAAAAGGATGGCTCTTTGTAATCAGCCTTTAGTGTATATCTAAGACAAGAAATTTTTTATCGGTTGAAAGTAGTTTCTTTTCTCTACGGAGAAAGTTTGGGAGTGCACGAAATCCCAAACAGAGCGGCTGCCAAGGGTACTAAATGGAGGGTGCAAATGGCTCTAGAGGGACGGTCTGTTGTTAAATGATATGCCTGAAATCGGAGAAATATCTAAAAGTAACCAGCTGCCGTGAGAATGCTGACCCTTAATAATGGCTCTCCGCCAAAAAATAATTCTTCATTTTCTGGCTGTTCGCACGCAATAGCTGTTAGCACGCAATAGCTTCCTAAGACACTGGAATAACTGGTTTCTCGGAAAATTCAGTTACCTTGAAATACCTGTGTAAACATATGACGACGAGACCTTGAAAACAAGCCAATTTCATTTACTGGGTTTGCTAAGCTGTTTGTTTCCTCTTTCCTTAGACAGAAAAGCCTTCATTCAGTGCCAATCCAAAAAGGATAGCCGGATAAAATCAGGTATTCCTTCCTCTTGCTGATGCGCTGTTTAACATTAAGAGAGCTTCGGTATGTTAAATATAGGACCAAGGTTTGAAAATGCGGTACCGTGATGTTTTCGTCTTTAGCAAAAATCAGACCGACAGATCATTTAACAATTTGCATGCAAATGTGTAAGTGGTCAGTATTAGAAATTTCTTCCCAAGCATAGACATGGACATAAATGAAACCTGATTATGTCCATAGACATGGACATAAATGGAATTGTTTCGCCCAGAGGTGTTGGCTCTCTTAAATGGAATCGGCTTAGTGCTTGCGCGTCTCATCTTTGTCCTTGCTGTAAAAGTTGGCCACGAAATTAGCCCATCGCCGGTGTTTCAAGTGCTTTTTCGGTAGCGTGCATTATGATACGCAAAATGTGAAGATATCGTTCCAAAACAACCGCAAGAATAACAGCATTATTTTATCATGATACAATTTTTGTTGTTGGCTTAGAGGTGGGTCTAGAGTTAGTTATCATTCCTCGCAGTTATCGCGCTTTATTTTTGAAAGATTTACATCACACTTGTAAGGAGAACTAACAATATATTTTTTGGTTAAAAGTGACCTTTCTTTCAATTTTATCGGAATTCGCATTTACATACTTACCTCATAAACTTTGAAAGAGGCCCATCAAATTGTTCGTATTGACTTGGTAAATATTTAGCGCCGCCTTCTTGAAGTGTCTTGAAATGTCGAATATTACTCACAATGTTGCCCTTGGTAAGATTAAGTGCTCAATTGGTCTTAAAACACCAGTGTTTCATAGCCATAGAGGGCTTAAAGTGATGATCGACTGAGAGGAACAGTTTTTCAGGCTGACCAGGATGTCTTCCTTACATCCCTGTCTTCCTGGTTTCGCCGATTTAAAATTCAATGACCGACTTAAATTAGTTTGTGTGTTCAGTAAAACCCCTTAAAATATCAAGTGTCTGTAAAGTAACGGCTGAAGAAGAAGTCTGCTTTGATATTAGAAAATGAGGCTATCGAACTTCAAAGTTCGTTGTGTGATGAATTTAGGGGGGAGTAAAATTGTAACAACATACGCACCCTTTCTTCCTCCGTTGTTATTTTGAGGATAGTTTTAGTTTATCAAAGTATAATAAATAGGTGCTGGGTTAGTATATAAATATATGTGATATGGGCCCAAATTATACAAGTGAGTGTTTTTCTTTAAAAATTTCAAAGTAACGTGGGCCAAATAGATATTCACTCTAGAAATTGAATCAGCCAGATTATTGTTTGCTGCAGTATAGAAGCGGTCAAAAAGCATACATCCTTTTAGCAGCCGTAAAAGGAAGTTTTTGGAAAAAATATTCCTCTCACAAACAATTCGATAATTTTTAAGTCCCATTTTAATAGATTAACGAAAATACTGTGTGACTATGGGTGCAAAGTGCATTAATTAACGGCAATAATTAACATATTAAGATCGAATTTCAAGCATACGAGTGGGCCGTTAAAAAAAGGACAAATTTGAAAAACAAAAAAAAACACGAGAAAAACTTAAAAGGATGATAAAAGCGAGGAACGAAAACATATGCGAAGTCTCCGTACCTTTTTTCCGTAGCCGCTTTGTTGTCAATGGTCGTTTTAACGCTGTTTTGGCGACTTGCTTTGTAACGCGTGCGGTTTCAACAGTCAACTGTAAAATAAGAAAAATTAGAAAAAAATTAAGAAAAATTAAAAAGGAAAACAAAAGCGAGGAATATATCGTGTGAAGTCTCCTTTCCTTTCATTAGTTAGTAACACTTCGGTTTCCTCCAATCATTTTTAGTTCTTTCCCTTTGTGCTTGCGGCCTTTTTGCCCAGTCACCAAATTGGATAATCACAGCGCTGAAAAGACAGTCTACATTTTTATTACTCATCACCTTACCGGTCTCGTCTTTCTAATTTATCGTTCAAAGAAAAAATTGGTCGTGTTAGCTTTACGTCGCGACAATAGATAATTACGGCCTCTTTTGACCTCAACGTATCAAATGAATAGATATCCGAGTAATATCGGAAATAATTTTCGGTGAGATCAATTGCTCAGGCGTTTGGTGTCTTCTCTGGGCGCTAAATAAAGTGAACTTTAGAGTCGCACTACACAAACCTTAAAACCTGGGTAAGTTGTGTGTAGTCATGTGAAAAGGATATTCTGAGCTAAAATGAGTGAATTAGTTTTAAGCAAGTATTTTACCGAGAGGTCATTTCCTATGAAAGCGCTTAAGAAAATTCAGTGCTGCTATGCTTTTGGCCTAATATAGATGTAAGAGAATGAGCGCGGAGATTCGCTTTCTTTTGTGTCTGATTGGTAAAATGTCATGATGAACATGAACAGTGTGTACAGTATTAAACAACAGAACACTATTGTATAGTACTGCATTGTAAAGACATTCCTGCCATGTAACACTTTTTACCAGAAGAAGCCTTCAAATGTAAAGAAGTTAATAGAACTAATAAGAGACAAAGAGAATTAAGCGAACCTGTTGATGTGTCGATAATGTCAGTGTCGGCATTCATAAAAAGCTGTTGACTGTGAAGTTGTTTTATTGCTGCAGAATTAAAGAATTTTGATTGTTGTTGGTCTGTCTCGCATTTGTATTTTGTCACGTGTTGACATTTGTTCGTTATAGCGGTGTATTTGTTTTGGTTTGGGCTTCTAGACTGTGTTATAACGAGGA